GTATTTCCCCCTTTCTATTTTCATAATACAGGAAGGGACACTGAAGAAGAATTACAGAGTTGCTGGGTTCTGGTCTTGCAACCAAACTGTACTAAACCTCCCATTATTAATCTGAACGAGTTTCACAAAACACATAGACAGGTATCACTCACACTCTCTCACACATACACTTTACAAAGTTAATCATTATCAAATAAACATAAACCTAGATCTCCCAAAATGTCTTTTTTTTCCTCAGGAATTCTTGGGACTAAATGGTATTAAAAAGTATTATTGATATTTCCCACTAGATAGGGAAACTCTCTTTCTCCATGTTAATTTTAGGCATCAAGTTTAGAACTCAGGTGGTTTGTTTTCTTTCCTGAGGAATGTAGACAAAGAGTGTAGATGAAGAATGACAGAGATGGTGCCAAGTCAGTCTTAGGATAAGGGGTGAATAAAAGAGCAAAGGGCAAGAGAACAAATTCAGGAGTGAGGATGGGTGACTTTTTTTCTTTTGAATTCAGCTAATAGCAGGGAATAAGTTTCTCCTTTAACATTTGGTACCCCAGGTAAACAGAAACTGGTTTAGAGAAGCTGCAAACTGGTATCACAAACACCTGTTTCTAAGCAAAAAAGTTTACAATTAAAGGGGAAATTACACAGAGAAAGTCTTCATTAAAGGTAGGAGAGTACATTAAAGAGCAAGTATATTACATAAAAGGGAAGCAGAATCAACATAATTACTGTTCTTCAGCACAAAAGATTTACCTCGGGGGCCATTTAAAACAAATAAGATGATAAATATTAGCAACTCCAGGAACTCTAGGTGTATCAATACTGAATAATCCCAATATTGCTAAGCTTCCATACTTGAAAGCTTGGAGCTGCAATCTCAATTCTCTCGTCTCATTTCCTATAATGTGAGTTTATATATTTTTGACTCTTAATTTCTAGATCCAGTAGGAGTCCCTGTTTCAGTGTTTAAGAAAAAAACGTTAAATCCCAGAAGTTTATAAAACGGAATTAAGAGCATAGATCATCTATCAATGACAATGTGCAACAGATGAAAGTTACATTAAAAACAATACCCCAGAATTTAGACTGGCTTTGTATATACAAAATAAAAATCAACAAACTGGTATCAAACAATGTGGTGTGAAAACTTAAGTATCAAATAATCTCAGACGTTTTACTATTAGCTACAACGACAGCCAGGTTGTGCCACTGTTCTGATGGTCTTACTGTTTAAATGACTTATTTGTTATATGAATTCCTGGCATAAACATTTTAGTATACTAGCCACATGAGGTTTATTAATCATAAACAAGGGCCTCAAGATCATTTTTATTCTAACATAATAAAAATAATCTTCCATTAAAATAATTTTAAATTTAGCAAATATATAAATGTTAGGTATTGCTATTACAAAGCTATGAACTATCGGTGTTCAACACGTAGTCTGAGTGAAGAACTTACTAATACAACTATCAAAATAGAGAAAAGTAATGAAAAAGCCTTAAGTTTTATAAAAACTTATAAAAGAGAGGAAATCTAAATTCAAATTGGGAGCATGGAGGGTAAAAGATACAACTAAGGAATTTACCTTGAGCTCCCAGTGATTGAATTTCCAACCCGGAGAATAGTTCTCTCGCAAATCGACTCTAACTCGAATGTTAACATTGAGCAGCCGCCTTCGATAATCATTGCATTTTGCAACCAGCGCTTCTTTGTCTTCCTCAGAAAGTGCATTTGTAATGCCGCAAGGAATAACCACCACCTAGAATCCAGCACAATGTCCCAAATTTATAAAGAAACAACATATAGAAGTAATGAGGTCCTACAACTACATAATATGCAGGAGTCAAAACCTACTAGTGACTATAAATCTTACCATAGATCAGCTTGTGTGATTTCTAATTTATATATGATGTCTACTAATTACCTACATACCACTTATCCATGCTAAATGCATTTTCATTTGACCTACTATACTTCATTTCACCTGTTGTAAGTCACTTCAAAAAATGATTTCTAAAAAAGTTTTATATTAATAGAAAGTAGGTTTAAAAATTAACAGTAAGAAACAATAAATAATGCAAATGATACACACAGTTACACAACACTGGGGTATATAGACTGTGCTCTATGTTGTTTTTATCATCAGAGAAATCTACCTGAATGATATTCAGAAAATCACCCTTTCAAATTTGCTTTAGTAAATATGGCTTGTATTTTGTAAAATAAACGATAAACAGAAATATTCTTCTTACCTGAACACAGGCTACACGGGGTGGTAACACTAATCCCATGTTGTCCCCATGAACCATGGTCATAACACCAATAGTTCGAGTTGTCAGGCCCCAGGAGTTTTGATAGGCAAATTGTTTCTCTCCTGGTGTCTTTGGATCTTCAAAAACGATTTCAAACATTTTGGAAAAATTCTGCCCTAAATGATGTGATGTTCCTCCCTAAAATAAAGAAAGAAATATAACCTTTAATTTTAATAACCTATTATGCCTTTAAAAATGATTACTATAAGATCGCATGCTTTAAAAGGGCACTAGACCTGTTTTGTCTCCCTTCTTACATTAAATAAGGTTTTACAATATAAGCATAACTGATATAACAAGAGACCAGAATTATAAAAAAAAAAAAATACTATTTTCAAATGTTTTGCTCTGGGCAGACCTTTTCACAGGAGTAACTTTAACTATAAGGGTTAAAAAGGAATTCATACTTTGTTAATTCAGGATACATGCCATGACTTGACAGACTTTGGAGATTTAGAGAAATGGGACTTGCTTCAAATTATAATATGGTCTAGAAAGCACATGAAATACTTATTTTTTAAGAGACTACTTTTCTGACGACAGAAGAAATTACTGGATCTGCCAATGGACTGTGCTTACAGTCACCTATAAATCTTATGCAGTAGTCTGATACCTGAATAGCTCTTCCACTAGCAGATATAAATGCTTCTATTGTAGTTGTATAGTCTCCTCCTGCAAATTTCTCTTTTTCAGTTTTTCTTCCTTTCACAACAGGAACTGCCAGGAGTTCTTCATATATTCGAGCATATAAGTCAAGTATCTGCAAGACCTGCAACAACATTTTAAATGTAAATGTGTTCAAATTGAGGATATATTTCTTCATTACAGATCTGTAAAACTACACTATTTAAAGCTTACTGTGTTGGGAAAAGCACTTCAAACAATAAAAACCTTTTTTTATGAAAAGGTTAATGCAGCCATTGTGAATTTATTAAGGAAGATATTCAACAAAGCAGTATGAAAAGTTGTTGAGTAACTTTTTAAAATGTATATAAATTTAGAATATAAGAGAAAATAAATGCTTATTATAGATATACATTAATCAAGGTGAAAAAAATCTCCTGAAAAGTAATTAATTTTAATCATGGATTATAATTTTTTCCACACATTAAAAGTCCAAAATTATTTTCACCTGAAAGTTTAAAATAGCACATTTCATTTACTGAAACATATCAATAAGCAGATTCGTAACCCCATGTACATTTGAATTAATTTGATTTTTCTTTTAACAGGTGTTACATAAATTTTAAGTAATAAAATAAAATAGCAGAGCCTGAACAAAGAGATGGAACACAGTTAATATCGATGACAACTTCTTATACCTCTTCTGTTGCTTCTTCAACAGTAGCGAAAACACTGTGCCCTTCCTGCCAAAGGAATTCACGAGTACGCAGGAAAGGCTGAGGGTGCTTGAACTCCCAACGCTAGAAGAGGCAAGAGTACAGTTTGGTCATTATAGAGAACTTTTCGATTTCTATGAATAATTTTCCATGGTAAGTAACCAAAAATTATAATTGGGATCCAAAATACTTCAAAAATGCTTCCACACTCCCAATCCTTTGAAAATAAAAAGAAAAAGGCCGGGCGCGGTGGCTCACGCCTGTAATCCTAGCACTCTGGGAGGCTGAGGCGGGTGGATCGCTCAAAGTCAGGAGTTCGAGACCAGCCTGAGCAAGAGCGAGACCC